AAATTTAAGGAATACGAGGACCCATCACCACTGTGGAGGGTGAAATCATTTACACTTCATCTTGTGTTGGTGTTCGTATTTGCATGTACATTTTCCGGAGTCTCTGTTTCTGAATGGTTCTTCAAGTTGGGTGCTGCTATATTCATTTGAAATTGCTGAAGGGCGATCAACAATGTTGCCACAGCCAAGGGGGAAGCGTGAGGTGAAAAAAAAAGCATCAGCAACGTATTGCGACTCACCTCCGTGGATAAATGTACACTGAATCAAACCGAACCCGATTAGTCCCAGCGGATTGAACCCATTCGCGTCAAGCCCAACCGATTCGGCCAGCGTAGATTAAATAGCGAAGGAGGAAGAACGACAACCATGTAACCCTCAAAAGAAATTTGATCTAGTTGTTTATTTATGACTAGCATAAGCAGATCACACTCGTGGGAATCAGAGACATTAATGCAATCGTAAATGACGGCGAAGCCGCCAGCTTGGAGAATTCAAACAATGCGGCGTGTAAAAAGGGATTTTGCTGTACCTTGAAGTACAATCCATCAATTTGTGGTGGTTGAGTAGGTGTTGGAGAAGGCGAAAGAAGATGCAAAAAGCAAAAATGAGGGAGGAAGGCGACTAGTAGAGTGAAGGGCGTCAATAGTAAAAGTGAAGGGACGGCTATGAACTACTTGGCACCCAGTTGACAGATCAACTGATAGATCATCCAGACGACATCGTTCCCATGATGCTGTGCTCGTGGACAGTACATGTGAAAAGAATGCAAGCAGGTAACAGTGACAGTGACGATCAGGAGACCACATGCGATGAGTATGTCCACAATTGTTTGACATAACCTCATTTTTGGCATCTTCCGCCTCACTTACATGATCTCATGCATCCAGCGAAGGAAGAGACCGAATGCCACGGAAGAATTTGAGATGAATTGTGAGGTGTGGAGAAGGTGGCGACAATTTTTTTTGAGAATTATGTGCATGAATAGGTCTAGTGGTAAAAATTGTAAAGTAGGGCTGCAGAGCTTAAGGGTAGTCTAGTTTGGTCGATGGAAATCAAGCCAAAAAAGCCAAGTCAGGCAAGGTGAGGTGAAGGGGGTCAGGGTGCCGAGTAAACAAAGACCCGACCTTCGACTAGTGTGTTGCGGTGCGTGCAAGCAAGAACTAAATTTATGCGTGGCACGAAAAACCACGAGTAGATTTGCATAAATGACTCTGTAGAAGCAAACTGACGCGCTGTTGCCATGTGACATTGGTCAGCAACTGTGAGGCTGACCAACAGCAGTCCAGGCAGCGCGTACTTCAAAGCACTTCAGTGGCATTTTGATGAAGAGGTTGATAGAAGTGACTTCCTCATGTGGTGAGGAAAAAGGGAAAGTTACAGTCCTGATGAATTACCGTTCCCATATGACACCCATTGCCACCAAAAAATTAGTGTCAATTTGGGGAGAAGGAAGGGAGGGGGGTGGGGGAGAGAGAAGAAGGCGTCTCTTCACAGACTATGAGCTTCCTACAGCCTGCACCCTGCATTGTTCCTCCTAGTTTATCGTTGCCAACTTAATCCCTCTGTGTGAAAGGCACGAGATTATGGTATCACAGGCATGATTGGCAGATGAATGGCAAGTGCCACATTTGTGACGCCAAAGTGGGGTAAGGAAATCGAGTAGTGTTAATTGTAATACGAAACTTGACATTGACAGTAACTTTGACAGTGTCAAGTCTTCAAGACGAGTCAATGCGCCGTAGATGTGAATTTGTGACTAATTGCGCTACTCCGAAGTATGACAGTCATTGCGGGTGGACTGTGCCTCCAAGACAAGCACTTTCATTTTACTACAAGCAACTGATATTCAACTTCTCGCCAAATGTCACTTCATTCAGGACTGGTGGTGTACCGTTCATTCACAGTCTGGACTGCTGTGAACTCATCAATTGGATCTCCGTACTGAGGGATGGAGGCTGTCATTAACCCTCCAGTTTGTTGAGAATACCTCCGTCACCTAGCTGACCTATTGTAACCACGTCGATGAGTTGTGCTGACGTGGGTAATCAGGGCCTCGGGGCTT